TGGTATGCACGACGAGATGGAGAGGAAGCTCAAGATTTGAGAGTAATAGAGAGAAAGCTTGAGAGATATGACGGGGTTGGAATGACCGAGAGCGGACCTGGGCTCCTGGATCAGAGGGATGCGACAGGAGGACCAGGGTTGGAATTGTATTACTACGATATGCGTCATGACATCAGGACGGCGCGGCAAAGGAAATGTCAAGGCCATAGAAGGAATTCACCGAAGCGTCCAGGTAGATGGAATAGAATGCGTTCTACTATCCTATGGACAACACCCATAGACGGGGCGTGGAGAAGAATCAACCAGAACAAATACACAAAGCTATGATACGCCGTTGTACTCCGAATGTCCCCTTATTGTCTTCGCTCTTTGTAATACGCTCGATGGATGTCGGGGTGGCCTCCATGGAGAGAGACACGCAAGACATGAGAAAAAATCAAAGACCCATCGCAACACCGTGACCGAAGGCCTCACCAGACCGACTAGCCCATCCATTCTGGGCACTTCTGGAATTGCATGCATTGTCGAAACCATGACCCCGGCTAGGCCCCTGCCTCTTTGTATCGTGTACCGTACCATGCAGAGCACTCAAGCCAGATTGACCCAATGGAGTCTTTTCTCGCCTGCTCTTCTTCCATGCATGTCATTCTCCCCACTAGAAAGGAATGGCTCTTGTTCGGCGGGGGCGAGATGTTAAAGGAAAGGAGTGATGATCGCAGAAGAAAAGGGCCCAGATCTTGGGACCGCTCGATCATAAGATAACACAGCATCCACCGCCACCTTCTCGGTTGCGGCCGCCGCCAGAGGTTGACTTATTGCCTCCCTTAGGTTCTTCTTCCTCAACGATATCGGCTGGCCGGACGGTCATGTGTACAACGTTGGCTGCCTCAGCACTGAAGTGGTATTCTGGAACAAGGTTAGATGAATCAAGGGAAACGTAGATATCAGGGAAAACCTACGTTTCAATTGGTCCTTATCGTCCAGCAGCTTTCCGAAATGAATCAAACGTATACTGCTGGGGCTCGCAGGCTTGGCATCCCATTCTTCACGCCACTCCCTGAGGATGAGTTCCTTCAAGGTATAAACACTGATAGTGAAGGGGTCCTTCTTTCCGGCCTCGGTCAATCCAGGAACATTGACGTTTCTCTTTGTCAAGTACTTTTCGTCCAATTTGTAAGGGTGCCTTGCACCAGTAGTGAGCAACAGGGTGATGTTGCAGACTGGGCCATCCGCTGGAGAGTTGGTGACGGGCTGGACGTCATCGACAGAGGGACCGATGGCCATGGAGTCATCCTGAGTCTTGGTCGCTGGCGACGAAAGCGAGTCCTTCTCCTTTCCTTTGGTTGACGGCTCGATTGAATCGTCGGCATCGCCCACGGCCGACGTGCTGGCTTCAGGCTGTGTTGATGCCGCAGCGCCGGGTGTCTTGCTTGATGAAGTAGTCGTCGGCCTCGTTGTGTCTGCTGCGGCGGCGTCGGCTTCCGTCGACGAGGATTGAGGGAGGGTCTTCATTGGAATGGTATCCTTTGGCGCCGCCGAAGAGTCCTTGGGTGATTGGCCGACGGTCGTGTTGGCGTCGGCGGGTTTGGTATCGGCCATTGCGGATCACAGGCAAGAGCAACGGCAGCGTCGAGCCTCGAGGAGCGCGGGCTCGTGGTGATTGAGATTGGAACCGAATCGGATACAGTGGCTCAATGCATGCGGCAGTCTGCGAAAAAGTTGAGGATATTTCGACGAGTGGGATCTCAGTGTTTCGCGGAAGAGAATCGGGGGGATGAATTGCAGTCTTCGGGTGAGACGGTCAGACGCAGAGGCACAGCGACGCAGAGACGCCAGTCGGGATGGTACCAGTTGGCGTGGGTAGCAAGGCCGGTGTTGTGGCAGTTGCCAGGATTTGGGGGGGTCGTTCAGGATGTTGGACGGGAACGCTGAAGGCGGAAGCGGGTGGTAAAGGCGGGTGATCAGTGCATCCAAAGCGTGGGCGTTCGACCAGTCCAAGTTCAAGCCCAACCAGCGAGGTGGGAAAAAGGAAGGATAAAATGGAGACCCGGGGCCGAGAGTTGGAGAAGGAGACGTGGGAGAGAGGACCTGACGGGAATGTCGAATGGGGAGATGGCTTGGCGGAACTTGGAAGGCGTGGCTCTTGGGCCGTGGGCCGTGGGCGTTGTCTCTCTTTTCCACCTGCACTCCAGTCTCCAGTCTCCAGTCTCCAGTCTCCAGTTTCCAGTGCTGGGCTCGGCTGGGCAGGCTGGGGACGCTGCTTTGCTGAGGCCGGGCGAGTGGACTGGCTGACTGACTATACTACCACACTACCTAGTAATCCAGACTAGGCAAGGTAGGTAGGTTGAGTGGACGGGCTGGGCTGGATGGCTCGGCAATGATTCCGTTCCAACTTCCAAGTTGTGCTGGAGGCGAAAGAGTCGCGGAATTTGCCAGGTACGTGTGCGAACAGATCTTCTCTGTCGTCGGTAGGGAAGATCATGTGAGTTTGCTGCTGGTAGATGATTGTATCCGTTCCCGAGTATCGGTAAGGTATGGTTACCTAAGGAAGGTCGGTCGGTAGGGGAGAGCGGTGCTTCGCTGCCGAAGCGGCGTTTGGTCGTCTCGTGTCTCGATGGTTACCCTCACGCTCTTCCTGGCAGGAATGTACCTCTAGGAACAGTACGTGAGTACCTGCCTTACGGTAAGGTAATCGAGGTGGGCACGTATGTAGACAAGACTAGACAGGGTGGTGCTATGACGATGTACCCGGCAATCACGTCGTCTCCCGTCGAATTTCCGAGCGGTCGGTATTAGTCGAGTCGTGCGGGCTGTTTCGTCTATCAGGCCCTCCTTGACAAAGCTGCTACGGCGGAGGCGGCGGCGATGGCGATAGACGCGGCGGCGGCGGATATCGGCAGCAAAGGGCGAAGCCGATCAAGGGTCGAGGATGTTGTGGAGGGTGTCACAAGCTTGCTCTCTTTTATCTTCTTCTCGGTCACCAAGTTCCAGCTGCTGTCCTGGTCGTCATCCTTGATGTTTGATGTTGCTTCTCGGTCGTGGGTTAGCTGCTTAGAAAAACAGAGAGTAGGACCGATCCGAAGTACCTATTTCAAATCGAGACTGGCTGGCGAGCAGAAACAACAATCGGCCATTCGAGATGTTGGCCGGAGTTGCAACCGCCGCGACTGAATAGTTTGTGGGAACGGGGTGGTTGCTGTAGTTTCCCTCGGTGTTCCTCAGTTAAGGTACTCTCGCGGCCCTATGCCTCTTGTTGCAAGTTTGACTGATTCCTTCTTTCTCATTCCCTGACAACGATACTTGTCGCGAAGTACAGTCCGTCTAGTGGAAAGCAATGCGAGTACCTGAGATTGTCGGGAAGGCGCACCTCAGACTTAAAGAGAAGGGGCAACCATGACGTTGGAAGAGGAAAGAACCACTTTCTCCAGGTCTTCCTTCCCGTCTCCTTTCCCAATCTGGAGTCCCTCAAGTTCCTCAATTCCAGTGTTTCCCCAATGCTTCCTCCTCCATTCATCTATTTTGCACTTGCACCATTATTCGCCATCTCATCGCATGCTCCTCGAAATCAAAGTATCCGAGTGCGCACCAATTGATAAAACATCGATTCATACAAATACCATTCCGAGTATCTTCACGCCTGCTGGACTCGGCCAAGGCTAGTGCATTCGCTAACTTGACCGCGGCGTCCACGGGTGCCCTCCCCCGCCGTCACCGCTCCAGAAGACAGGACGCTATTATTTCGCAATGTGACACATTCCCAACCGCACGCACCGTTCGCATTCCTTCCGTCTCCAGATCTGGGCGTCTCGCGGGGGAAACGGGAACGGGAGCGAGGGAATGGAAAGGATCAAATGGCACACGCGCCGTAACAGAGCAGAGGAAACGCACCCAGACGCTGCCTGTCAAATTTCCAACCGTCAGTGTCATTGCCACTAATCTAGACCAACCACCTAATTACCTACAACCATCTTTCAGTTCGCCTGCAGTCAGCCGCATCATCAGTCGGTCGAGGCTGTGTCAGTTCCGATACGTACCCACCGATGGTGCCCTCACCGGTCCAGTTCCCCTTCCTCGCAGGGACAGGCTAGTCTGCGGTCCCCGCCACGGCGCCCCTTCTCTGGGCATCTGAAATCCCCTCATTTTCCTCAACTCAAGCGCGATATAGAAAGATAGACGTGCAATGTTTCAGCAGCACCCCATACGCGTGTGGGAAACAGATTCGTCTAGGGGTACGGCAGGCAACAAAAAACAAAAAGCGGCTGGATTGGTTACGACCTCGCAGCATTACAAGACGTACGGTTGGCTTCGTCACCGCTTTGTGTTTTTCGCACTCTCAGCCTCCCAGGACCATCAGATTAGTGTGTGAGGGTGTTATGTTGATGTTTCTGAAGATGGGATAAGACTGTCAGGAACCCGAAACTCTCCTCAGGCTTATTTCGCCTGTCGCCCCATGGCCTTATTTGACACCAATGCAACACGCAGGCACGAGGGAAACCAATGTAGTGCACGCACATACTCAAAACCCAAAGAGTCTACAGGGGAAGCATTCGAGGGCTAGCGACGCAGAGCACGAGCTTTCCATGCTTTGGCCTGTTGTCTTTCAAGCCGGTGCTCTGCAACGTCCAGACGAAGTGCGAGATCCTCGTTACAGATCTGCTAGGGCGAGGAGAACCACCTATGCCAGGTTCACATGTTCACTGGGCGGGACACAGGCCCTGGGCAGATCTGATGGCCGTAACACGGGTAGAAGAGTAATCGTTTACTCATAGGACTGCCGCATCCAGACTCCCAAAGCTTTTCGGACCAGATCGTGTGTGTTGTCGTCGGGCGCCCAGATCCATCCACGGCTCCAGCGGAAAAGATGCCCGGGGTTCCCAACCAATCCCTTTGAGGATGGGGGACTGTCGACAATGGCCAGCCATGGCCCACCGAGAGTAGTCCGAGTCTCCTGCTCCTTTGGGTTACTGTTGACGTCTTCTTAACACCATTGTCCAGATCCTTCATCGGGGGAACCGGGAACGGTGTAGTGCCCCAGTGCACGAGTTACGATTGAAGCGAATGTTTCTCGTTCTGACTCTCGTACCGACGACTTGGAAAATAGAAAATGCGAAGAAGACGACGTGGAAAAAGCAATATCTGAAATCCATCATTGGTGGGCGACACAATCTTCGAACCGGGATCCACGATCTCTGTCCGGACAGAAATCGCGGGGTGACGGGAGAAACAATGGAGACTCCACTCGCTTGCGCCGGTCCGTCCAAAATCCAGGACACCAACATACAGCCCCAATGGACCGGCATTGCGCCCAAGTCTTAGTTGACCTGCCCGACTTGTCGACCATATCGTCGCAAACAACAGCAGAAGCTGATACCAAGTTACCGACCTTGCCGACTTTGCCTTACCTAAGGTACTGACGGGAATCAAGACCACGGCACCAATCCAAAGCCGGAGCCGGACTTGTGTGCTCCGCCACGCTCTGAGGGTCCTGATGACTGCTCTCCTTTCACATTTACGAAAAGAACTACAGCTTGCCTGCATTTCTGTAGGTAGTACGGTCCAGTAGCTTATCCCATCGGCCCCTTAGAACTGTCGATTCCTCCTAAAACTCAAGGTTCCGGCCGGACCCCTTAGACCTCCCGTCGAGGCCCGCCGCTAAACAAACATCTGTCGTGCGCCCGCATTGCACGACTTGGTCTTGTCTTTGTCTGAACTCTCCAATGGCTTTTTAAGACAAATACTCATCACATCTCAAGCCTGTAGGTTCTGGCATCTGCTCGCGCATGCATCGAAGAAGGTATGAAATAGGGGAGATGACGAAAGAAGAATCTATTTTCTCCGCAGCTTCTTCTTTGGATTCCATGTTGTGTCCTTTCCTACTCTATAGGTTGAGGGAACGCCAACCTAGTTATATTAACCTAGAGATACACGAACATGCTAGTATACTCAGTCAGGTATGCTGGAGGTTGCTCTCCATCCTCGGGCACACGGAGATCAGTACGGCCAATGACTTCCTCGAATTTGCTACTTGTCAACTTTTCCCTCACACTGCCATTACTAAAATACCGAGGATATCCTTTCGTTTCGTAGCCTACAGTCAAACAAAAATCCTACTCCTCCTCCAACACACATCCCACTGAGCTCGTCGTCGCATGTGTCTTCTTACAGCACCAGCAAATCACCATTGCTCCCCTGCGCTGGTTGCACCACCTGCTGCGGGGCGTGCTGATTCACCACATACCCCGTCTCGTAACCCCCAGTCTCACCAAACACGTCTCCCTGGTCGATCCTCATGGCCGCCATCTGCTGCGGTCCGATACTGTTAAAGTACGCGTCCGCGTCGTTGACCGCCTGCGCCATTTCGCCGTTGGCCGCCGCCGGGTCGTTGGCGATGTGCTGGCCGTGCATGTTATAATCCTGGGCCTGTCCGCCCATGCCGAGCATACTCAAGCTCTTCTGGTTTTCGATGGACGTCGGGAGGAGGTGCTTTTGCAGCGCCGGCGAGTCCGTCAGCTTCTTGGGCCGCGCTGAGCGGAAGACGGTCTGCACCGGCTTCAGGTACACCGTAGCGAGCGTGCCGACGTTGAGGCACATCTCTTCGAGTGTGGCCGGGTCGAGGCGCTCGGATTCGGCCGTGATGGGCGGCTTCTCGCCCATGACGATCTGCTTGGCTGCGGCCATGTCTGTCGATAGGAGTCGCCAGTACATGTACGCTCTGTCGCGAAGATCCGGGTTATCCGTCTCTTCCGTCGCCCACTTGAGGACGCGAGGCACCAGCTCTTGACCCTTGGTTGGTCTCTGGATAAAGAGCTTGACGGTCGCCGTGAGCAGTGCCAGTTGCACTTCTACCGGCTCCTCGGCGAACGAGTACAAAAAGTCTTCCAGGAGTGCCTCGCTGTTCTCTATTCTGTCCGCGTACTGTCCAATGACCCAAACCATTGCAGCCTTTGCTTCCGGCTCGTCGAGAGAGTCGAGGTGCTCGCAGAGAGTGCCGATGATGGACTCGTACTGGTTCGGATACTTGCGGAAGATGTTTCTAATAACGACCGTGGCCTCCTGTACAATATACGTGATCTTGGTCGCAACCAGTTCGAGGAGCAGGTTGATACACTGCCGCGCTGCCGGCTCGATCTTGATAGCCAGTTTGCCTATCGCTCGCACTGCCTTGCGAACGAAGTGAACGTCGATTTCCGTCGCGTACTCTCTAAGTTCGGTGAGGACCTCATCGATGTTGTTTTCGTTGGCGAGCATGAAGATGAGCTCGAGCTTCGTGACCTTGACGTAGATGGGGTCGTTATACTTGCAGAAGAAGACGCGAATGTCGTTGCGCAAGACTTCAGGTCGACGCTGCAAGATCAAGAGAGCGTTTCGTAGAGCGAGGTACTGTACTTCTGGGCCCTTGGCAAGGAGCGTCACCAGGGGAGGAGATAGCTTTTTGCACAGGATTGCGATCTGTCTCTGGTCCGAGATGTAGTTCATGAGATACAGAACGACACGGATGCAGGTGAGCACGACGGCTGAGTTTGAATGTGAAAGACGCGGCGATATGCGCTCGGCAAGAAGCAAGGCTTCCCCTGACTCCTGAGGCACATATGACATGAGTGCCTCGAGGATATATGTTTGACCCCATCTGCCATGATTGTCAGCAACAGCCTTTGCAAAGCGATTGATAGTACCCACTCTGAGCAGTCGGGAAGGATAGCCACCATCTTGGAGGCATTGCTGTAGTCGATGGTAAGTTTGATGGCGTCACTACGCTCCCAAATGTCCATCAACGATGCTAGCGCACTGGCCACTACGGTAGGGTTGTCATCTCTGAGAAGCGTGTTGAGCCTGTCGATTAGATCTGAACCCTCGATCATGCGCCTATCGTGGTCATATAGCTTTGCGACGCAGAAGGCGGCCGTCTTCCTCACGTATGGATCCGCGTCCTTCAACATGTGCTTGACCAAAGGAACAGTCGCCTCGACGAATTCCCGGACATGTATGTAAGACATCGTTCGCAGGGCCAACGCTCTGACCAGCGGATTGTGATCTTCCATATCCTGGGGCGACGTTAATCAACTGACTTCTCAGGAAGTCAAGGGGCCGCGCTCACCTGCTCCAGGACAGGAATAGCCTGGACGGCAATTTCTGGTCGCATCCTTGCGTAATTGACCAGGAACAAGAAGCACCTAAATGGTTCGTCAACACCTGAATATTCCGTGGGGAGCTATCGGGAGGTAGTACATCTTCTTGATCTCGAGACTCTGGATATGCATGCAGCCGATGATGTCGGGGAATAGCGCGACCATATCATTGTTGCTCATGGTCATGTTGGCGACGATCTTCTTCAGCGCAATCTTCTTGCTCGCATAGTTCTTGTCCTTCTTGCCGCCGCTGTTGAGTTCCAGCCGCAATTCTGCGACTTTGCCCTTGGAGGTTATTAGTTTATTGACGTAAGTCGGCGGGGGCACGTAGGCCATAAACATGGCGGGCGACACATAGGACGACAGCATCCAAGGTAGAAAACGTGAGGTGAGGTGAAGACGATTGCGCCAGCAACATATGATGAGAGGGGAAGCTGAAGCTCGAGACCGGAAGGCACAGCAAGGCTGGTGGTATTGGGGACGGCGGGGCAGACAGTAGTAGGAATAAGTCCCAGATAACAAGCTCAGCTTGTCTCAGACAAATATCGAAGGATTTTGGTACAGAATTCGCGAAGGACGTTGTCCAACGGCAAGACATGTATGCGCAACGAAATTAGGAGAGACAAGAACGAATTCTTACCCTGGCAAACAACTTGGAGTCTCCTCCACCCTGTGCGCTCGACATGATGGCGGCTTTCTCCTGGTATCAGACACAGCGGTCGGTGTGGTGGCGCGTAAGGCGATTCTCAGGCAGGATCCCTCCGTACGGGTGTCCCGACAAGCTCTCTGCCGGTTCTCGATCGCGTCGTGGTGGGCGATAACACCCTAGGACCCCTCACGCCCAGCTGCGCGATGTATGTCGACTTTGGCTTCCCTGTACTAGGGCCAAGCCACTCGATCGGAACGGGGTCGCAAAAGTTGGCGGGAAGACGCAGTGCTTCCTTGACTTGTCTTGGATAGTGGGAGGGGTGCAGAGGCAGAAGGGATGTCACATGCGTCGTTGGTGCCGGGGGGTTGCGGCCAATCGAAGAGGCCTCTGCTTGATCAACGTGTCGTTGAGCTGAAATGCCGGACAACCTTCTTTTTGTCTCTACACCAGCTGCTGTGGCCGATGTCTATCGTGGGCGATTTGGGAGGATTCGCTTTGCTCGATGCGACGGTACGGGGTGCGGTCGGCTATCGTTTGTTTCTCGCGGGCAATCCGGGGATGCGATTTCCAGTTGTTTAAGGGGAAGTTCAACGTTGGATTCCCAAAGCTCCCGCCGTTCCGCAGTGGAGTGCGACAGGTCCGAAACTGGGCCTTATCGGTCAGCCGATAAAGAATAAGCGCAGCCGCTGCCCGTCAATGGAACTGCGTGGGGTGCGCGTCGGATTGTGTTTCCAGGGTTTAGCCGGCCCTTTTTGTGGAGAACTGCTTCCCAACGACAGCCCGTCATCGCGGGAACTGTTTGGCAGCTTTCGTCTCAACACCTGCATTCGAATCCTTTAAGCTTCCGACCGCGCGCTCGACTAACGAAGCTCGACATACATACTCCGATCATGGCTTTGGTCAATGGCGATATCCCGCGATGGGTGGCAGACCTACAGTCTCCCCCTGCTGCTAAGTCCAAGGTCCCCGGCATCTCCGATCCCCCAGGCTACCCGTCGCAGACCTCGTCCGGCTCCAAGGTAAGCTCACAGCGGCCCGCCTCAAGCAATCATCGGAAGCTAAGTTGTGTCTGTAGAAGCAGAAGGACCAGAAGGCTATCCAGCCGCGCAAGCAACAGACACCCGAGGAGATGGATACTCTGAAAGTCAAGAAGGCGTGGGAGGTGGCGCTCGCCCCCGTCAAGAACCTGCCAATGACGGCAATCATGATGTATATGTCCGGCAACTCGCTCCAGATCTTCAGCATCATGATGGTCTTCATGGCTTTCAAAAATCCTCTGATGGGTCTCACCGCGGTGAACCAGGCATTCGAGAGGTTCGAGTCAGAAACAAACAAGGCCAAGATGCTGCAGGTCAAGCTGGCATACGTCGCTATGCAATTCGTGGCCCTAGCGCTGGCGGTTTGGAAGGTTAACTCGATGGGATTGCTGCCGTATGTATTCATTCACAGGTTTGGTCACAATGGCATTGCTAACGCGGGAGTAGGACAACGAGGTCAGATTGGTTGGCTTGGGAAGCTCGAAGAG